CATCCCAGCCACTCGCAAAGATATAGCGCAAACTGCCGACATGGCACGATCACACATCAATCTTCTTTAAGAAGTTGTGAAGTGGTGTTAGTGTGCAGCAGATGAGGCGGTCTGTAGGGCTATGAAAGAAAGCCTCATGCGTACCCCGATTTTGGTCTCTTTGAATCTAGATTGGTCATTCCGCGTCCTCGGCAATGCTTCAGCCTTTGCAATATGTTCCAAGCTGATGCCACTGGATACGAGCGCATGATCGCGTTTTTAGTCTCATCAGCAAGATTTTGCTGAGAGATAATACGCTGCTAATGACAAGGAGCTACTTGCAAAAAAGTATACCTTTGTCAAATTCAGGCACCTGCACGGCACAGAACGTTGTTAATTCAAATGATGCGTCGTTGCACAACGCGGCATTTTTTTACGAAAATATGGCAGGATGGCTATCATTCATTGCGAAGTATCCCTTGCGAGGTAAAATTCATGCGGGATCGGCTTAATGTGATGATGGATGCTCTTTCGCGCCACTCAACTAGAAATTGCTGCATGTGACAATCGTGACGCCGGATATTAAGAAGTGGTACTCATACAAACAAAGCGCTGTCATATGCCACGTACATTGCCTCGTACAGTATTTTTTCTTCAAGCTCCTCATCGTATGGCTCCGCTACTCGCCGAGTGTCATGCGGAGCAGCGCTGTAATACAGCAAGCCTTTAGATTAGGCATAGCAGTAAAGATGTGCAACTGCGCGCTTTGATAAGTCAGTATCTGAGCTCTCAAACGTCTTGCTTTTAAAAGTTTTCTGCAGCGCAGCAGTCAAACCTTTCGCTCTACGTTTCGCCGCTATTTTCCGGCGTCACGATTGTCACATGCAACAATTTCTAGTTGGGTGGCGCGAAAGAGCATCCATCATCACACTAAGCCGATCCCGCATAAATTTTACCTCGCAAGAGATACTTCGCAATGAATGATAGCATCCTGCCATATTTTCGTAAAAAATGCCGCGTTGTGCAACGACGCATCATTTGAATTAACAACGTTCTGTGCCGTG